TTTAACTAATCAAATAGGAACAGAGATCTCAGATAGGAGCAGATAAAAAGGAGACGAAACAATGGTGAGCCAAAAAAATCGGACAAATTTTATGTAGAGAGTTAACTCTGAATAGACAATGATAGACTCTCCAGGAATGTGCAATAAAAGTTTTAAAGAAGAATTCTTTAAATAGAAGCGACACACTACAAGGAAAATTTTATGACATCTGGAACTAAAACACCCAGGGATTGGGCTCAGGGGGATGAGGGGTAGAGAAATAAAAGCATTTGTCTCATTTAGCACACTGTGTGGTTGGGAGGAGGGAGCAAAACAGCGAAATGAATCTATTGGAAGATGTCATCTTATTGAGGTACAGGAGAAAATGCTGGTGCTTTATTTTATGTAGTAGTAAAGAAATTTGTGTTCAATTATGAGCAATAGAAACAAATACTAGTGATTGAATAAAAAGTAAATAAGGGAATACAATGGATAAGTCAGTAAATAAGAGAACTTGGTGGATAAGTGAATTAATAAAAGTCCACAGTGGAGGCAATTTCCCCAGTTATAAAACATTATCTTTGGAATATACACAGGATGTACTTTTCAAAAGAAACAAATGTATATAGGGGAAACAATTTTCACTCATTCTCTGGACACTCAGTACTTTTCCAGAGATAATTTATTGCTATACAAGCATAATAATTCCTTTTCAATATATTTTCCCAGCAACTAAGAAGTTCAGTGTTTGTAATTCTAATAAAAAGAGTGCTGATCTGGGCTGAAATGAAAAGTTTTACCTTAGATATATGTCTCATAAGTAGCTTTTATGAAGTCAGGGAATATCCTTAAAAAGCAATTATCAAGACTCTACAACACATGAGTTTGAAGGCACAGGGAGATTAAGACGTAGAATACATTAGGTGAGATCTAGGGCCAAAGAATAGCAGGAGAGGGGGTGTGTGTGTGTGTGTGTGTGTGTGTGTGTGTGTTGTTGGGGCAGATGGGAGTCTTTGGAGATTGCCTGTAGGCTGCCAGTGTGGTGCTATGATCTCTAGGCCCTGGTAGGTCCTTGCGAAGAGACATGGTTCTGAAAGGTTGGCACAGGTATAGGTTTTTTAATATTTTTGTTATCCATAGGGGTGACCCTGAACACCATTACAAAAATTTAAAAATTTCACCCCTGGGCACACAGGTTACCCTTCTCGTGGTGGCATGGCAAGGCTTGATTTCCAAGAGTTTCTTTTGGACTGTCCCCAATTTTTCCCTTTAAAAATAGGAGGTCCTTCACATTGACAAAGGAAGGAGGAAATTATCCCTTCTAATCTACTTTCTCATCTTCATTCCAAGATCTCTAGAAAGGCACAGCACGTTTGGTTTTTGAAATCTGTGGAATTTTAGTGCTGTCCATTCTCCCAAGTGGATGCCTTTAGTGAAGGTAAAAGGAAAGACTGTTTGCTGCGTCAAGGGAAGATTCATATGCACATCCCAAGACTCAGATGTTATTTCAGAGGAGCTGGTGTCCATAGTAAAGTAGAATCGCCCCAGGTTCATCTGCCTACAGGGGTAACCGTTTGAGGCAAATATGAGGGAACTGGCAGAATAGGAGGGGTGGAATCTTCCTGGGAGAAAGTAAAAAGAATTTTAGGTGGAGAGGGGATCAAGGTGTGAACCAAACACATGTCTTTTAAGTTCCTGTAGGAAATGTTGGAAAGGACTTTAGAAGAAACGATAAATATGTCATAGCTGGAAAACCATGAGAAGTCTTTGATAGAAACTGTTAAAAAGAACAACAACAAACACACAAAATTAAACACCTTTAAGTTTGAAAATGACAGAAGTTAAGAAATGGAAAGTTGCCTGGGACATGCTTTTATTATGGCCTCTCTGATAAACCATTCCCGACTCCATCTTCTTATCCTTGCTTGTCCTAAGCAGCATGGTAGCCGCCGTGGCACTCATCAGGCTAAAGTGGTCATTTTCGGCACTTGTGCTAGAGATGGCAGTGACGCAGAATCATTTCGGTAAATGCCAGAGGTTTTTTGTCTCACAATAAGGAAATTGAAGATGTAGACACAAAAGGAGTGGGTTTAAGAGTGGAAGGTTAATAGGCAAAAGAAAGAAGAGAGAGTTCCCTGTGCATTGGAAGGGTGCCTGAGCGGGTTTCTAGGTTTTGGGTGAGTTATGGTAGGTTTTATAGATGAGCTTGATGAGGCAGTGTCTGATTTACATAGGACTCAGAGGATTGGTTGGACCAGGTGTGCCATTTATGTGATGCATGAAGAGGCTGGTCATCCCATCCTAATCTTTTATTATGCAGATGGGGTCTCTACCTGGCCAGTGCCATGTTGCCTGAACACTTGAAGACAAAGAAAAGGGAAGAGGAGGCAAGGCATGGTAGCTCACTCCTGTAGTGACAGGACTTTCGGAGGGTGATAAGGGTGGATCACGAGGTCAGGATTTCAAGACCAGCTTGGCCAAGATGGTGAAACTTCGTCTCCACTTAAAAAAATACAAAAAAGAAAAAAAATTAACTGGGCCTGTTGGTGGGCGCCTGAAATCCCAGTTACTCGGGAGGCTGAGGCAGAGAGTTGCTTGAACCAGGGCGGAGGTTGCAGTGAGCCGACACCACGCCACTCCACTCCAGCATGGGCAACAGAGTGAGACACGGTTTTAAAAAACAAAAGGAAGGCTGGGCGCGGTGGCTCAAGCCTGTAATCCCAGCACTTTGGGAGGCTGAGACGGGCGGATCACAAGATCAGGAGATCGAGACCATCCTGGCTAACACGGCGAAACCCCGTCTCTACTAAAAAATAGAAAAAACTAGCCGGGTGAGGTGGCGGGCGCCTGTAGTCCCAGCTACTCGGGAGGCTGAGGCAGGAGAATGGCGGGAACCCGGGAGGCGGAGCTTGCAGTGAGCCGAGATCGCGCCACTGCACTCCAGCCTGGGCGACAGAGCGAGACTCCGTCTCAAAAAAAAAAAAAAAAAAAAAAAAAAAAAAAAAAAAAAAAAACAACAACAAAAGGAAGAGGAAGCCTCAATGTTGAATATGTCTGGCTTCCAAGTATCCCTTTTCTATTGGCATAGGTGCTGGCAGTCAACTGTGCCCTGTGCAAGCTTTTAGCTTGCTTATCTATGCATGCAGCTTGATTTTTCAGGCTGATTATTGTTAGAAAAAAAAAAGAAAATTAGATGGGGGCTGCTTTTATATTAAAAGGAAAACCTTACCGAGGACTCCCTTACCCACACTAACTGCTAAATAATTTATGTTTTTAGCTCCTGTATCAGCAGTGCTTGCCCCTGACAGATGATGATCGTGGGGGACCAGGAGCCTCTAGACTTAGAGACAAGTTGCCTGCACTCACCGGATGGAGCTTTTTCCCTCCCCAGCACCCCCTGCTGGTCAGTTTGACAAAACAGATGAACAGAAGTTCTCAAATACACAATAAGCAGATAAGCCCAGTATCACCAAAATATGATGTCGTAATGGCATTTTGTCAAATTGTCTTTGTTATCTGCATCATCTGTTGCTTTCTGAGGGAAGTATTTTGAGTTCTCCTACTGAGACTGTGGATTTGCCTATTTCTTTTTGTATGTCTGTCTGCTTTTGCTATATATATTTTGTAGTTGTGTGTGAGAAAGATTCATGATCTATCTTGTGGGAGAATTCTGTATTTAGCAGATTTTCATCTTAAGTTATATTTTGCCTAGTATTGATGTTATTACTTTGCTTTTTCAGTTTCAAATTCATTTAGTACATCTTTTTCCTTTCTTTTAACCCTTGTGTTTTTATTTCAGATGTGCTTTATTATGTACTGACAGTGAGCCCCAAATTCATATGTTGAAGTCCCAACTCCCAAAGTATTTGGAGGTGGGCCTTTCAGAAGTAATTGAGTTTAGATGATGTCATGAGGGTGGAGCCCCAATGATGAAATTAAGTCATTCTAAGGAAAGGAAGAGAGTCTGAGCCCTGCTCTACACCATGTGAGGGCACAGAGAGATAGCAGCCATCAACAAGCTGAGAGAAGAGGACTGAGAATGAAACCTACCTCACCAGAACCTTGTCATATCCCTTCCCAGTTTCCAAAAGAGTGAGAAATCAATTTCTGTTGTGTAAGCCACTCAGTCTATGAAATTCTGTTATGGCAGCCAGAGCAGATTAATGCATGCTTCTTGGACTTTATTTTTAATTCAATATGAAAAACATATGTTTTAATAAAAAAATTACCCCATTCATTTGTATTGTGTTTACTGATAATTTTGAACTTATTTGTGCCATATTTAAGAAATCCTCCTTCTTCTTTCCCATGCTTTCTCGTTTTTTTAATCCAAGTGCATGATAAGGTTTAGGAATCACTATCTTAACAGGACCATGAAGGGCTAGATAAGAGAAGCTGGCTTGCATTCAGGGAAGGGGCAGAGGAGGGAAGCTGCCAGCTGGGCTGTGCTAAGATGACCTGAGCCCCAGACCCTGCTGGATGAACATCCTCTTCTAGATACAGGACCTGCCCAAGGCACCATTTTGAAATAGGCAAATTTTATTTGCTTTGTCTTCTTTCGTCATCTGTATTAGCTTTTGCTTCTTGAGTGAAAAATATAGCTGTTTTCATATTACCCCAAGTTCCCGAGTTTATTTTTTATGTAAGAATCCCAAATGGTACATGTCCTCTCTTTCTCAGACCATGCTTTCATTTCAGTCAATGTAACAAATCAGCCTGGTCTTAGGTGTTTAGAAATCTGATTGGATTGATTCACACTAACCTGTAACATATGTACCACAGCCTTCTAAGATGAAGTTTTTTAAAAAAGCTCCATGACCTACACAATTCTTTAATTGCTGGAATTGTGCACTTTAAAATCACATCAAATATAAACATTCAATTTTGTGGAGGTTTTCTTTTTTATGGAGGGATGAGAATAGGTGTTTGTTAATACTGGCAGACTTTACTCCCAAAGCCAATTCTATTAACATATCTTTTCTGTTTTAAATCTAGACTATCAGAAAGAATGAAAATGCCTTTTTTTTTTTTTGCTATAGCTGCAGTGTTCACAGTAATCCAAGTTCCAATGGCAGTGTGGCAGAGTAGAACCAAAAGAGACCAAGTTTTGATCATGAAGTGTAATTTTTTTTTTAAGATCAGGGATTCAGAATTGTAATATCAGTGTTCAATTAGGAAGTTCTTATGATAGCGCATGGCACGTGTCCTTTCCATCATCTGCATTTTCTGCTTTTTTTGTCTGGCTCACTCCTACTCACTCTGCAATCCTCACCTTAGTGGTCACTTCTCCCCGGAATGCCCCTGACCCCTTATGATAGCAGTGCTGCAAACACCAAAGAATGAACTTATAACCAGACTCACAGGCAACACTTTGCCCTGTGCCACGCTTCAATCATGATGAGGATGTGAGAAAGAGTAGGAGAAAGGAGACACAACAAATGTCATTTCCCTAGCAGAGGCCCCAAGGCCAGCCCACTTGATTCTCTGGTTTCTTTTTCTGCATAACAATGATGAAAGATAGCCTGGGAAAGCTGTTCCTCTCAGGCTTCACCTTTGATACATTTCTACTCACTGAACTAAGAGACAGATTCCATTCTTTAGTGTACCATTGCCTCATAAATCCATACATAGCAGGGCTATTCATTTCCAATAAAGTATCCATATAGATTAGGTATATTCTATTGACAATTTTATTAAAGTTCTTCATTTATCTTCCAGATAGTAGATTCTATTAACCAAGTTTCATAAAGAGTTCTGATTCCCAGAGGTAAGAACTGAGCCTGGCTTTCTGGTGACATGTTTACTGGTAACCCCATCCTTCCCTACAATGCTTAAGCATATTTAAAGACTATACCCTCCCCTGCCTCCAGCCTGGATTGTGAGCTCCTCAAGAGCACGGCTGTGTCTTTTAACATCAAGGCTCCATGTGAGAAGAGTTCCTGCCATATCATAAATGCACAATGTGCGTTTGTAAGTGAAGAAAGCTATTCTGTGGTGTCTGCTTTAATATTAAGAGATGGCTTGCCAGAGATTACTAAGCAGCTTCATTGTCTAAAATGGAACTAGATTCTGTGGATAGCAAATCCATTGGTGCCACTCACAGGAGGCCTCAAAGAAACCTAACTGCTGCACAAATCTGCGGGAGTATTCATTTTCTTCCCGCACAGAGAGGTAAAATGGAATATTCTTCTGACGCAGATATTTCATGTATCGCACCATCACTCGTGCCATGTTGCCTGTCCTTCGGTATTTTTCCATGCTGTAGGCCATTCCTACTTCACAAGAAGGGTCCATGGTTACCCATGAGACTGGGACTCCCTCTGGGCCAAGCATACAGGCTGCTGGCAGGTCTTGTATGCAGCGCTTGATGAAACGCAGGCTCCTCTCATTCCTCCCTCGCTTCCAGTTGTCATTTACCAGCCCAGAATAAGAGACAGCCAGCTGGGCATAATTAAAGTTGGGAGTTTCACTGTAGAAAACAAAAAGAAAGATAACAACTTTCATCCTCACCCCTGTAATTTCTGGGTGTCATCCCAATCTAGAGATGCCAGGCCCTCTTCTTGTTTAAAGACACACCATTGCAAAGTTGCATATTTTGACCTTTGACAACCTTTATTCATCCGAAGGAATGAATTCATCCTCTCTTCTTTCCAAAACTGATTTCTGTGAATTACAAAAATGTATAAGGACTAGCAATTATAAATGATTAGCATATGTTTTTGTACCTTTCAAAGTCATCATCTGGGTGGCCTGTCTCAGCACAGCTTCCAAACTTGCTTTCACTGGAGGCATTGAGCTTCAGAATATCTTCCGTAACCAAGAGGACTGCTGTCGAATGCTCTACCTTCACTGACTTTGAAAATGCAGCCGCTCTTATCCCCTCACCTAAACTTTCCTGAAGACCTGGGAAGAAAGGCAAGAAAGCAATCTTGTCAGACATGGAGTTCTCTACTTACACTGCTCCCACCTGATTAATAGCTCAGTGCTTAGTAGTTCTCACACTTGAGTTTACACTACAATCAGATGGAGTCCTTGTCACACCACAGATTGCTCTACGTCTCCCAGCACCCAGAGTTTCTATGAATTTACATTTCTAATGAGCTCTCAGGTGATGCTAATGCTGTTAGTTGAAAACTCAATTTGAGAAGTACTGCTGGTTGCCCATTTCTTCAGACTTGTTACCTTGGATTTGGAATCTCTGTTTCCAGTTGATGATCTCACAATTTTTCAAAACTTCTTGTGATTTTTGAGGCTCTTTGGAGAACATATGATACACGTTTGTGTATGAGTCCATGTTGTCAGTCATCTCCTGTATAGGACGGTGTAAGTTCAGGTCATTTCCTTGAACTTTTTCTTCACCTCTCACTGATTGCAATTCAGAAAAATGAAAATTCAAAAGAAAATTTTAACAGTGGCCCATGATGGCTGCAGTTGGGCACACAGATAATAAAACCTAGGCCTATAAGCTACTACTGACCTCTTACCTATGTAACCGGAAATATTTAACACTGACAAGTATTGGTGATAAACCTCCTTATCACATACAGAACAAAGACAGGACAAAATCACTCTCCAGCAGGCCTTAAGATGCCTCACCTTTCTCCCTACCCGCTCAACTACACACTACCTTATTTTATATATGGCATCACCGAGCACCCAACAGAATAAAAAAAATGCAACAATTGCTTCTCTTACCACCTGTGCCAAACGGATACTCCTGTTATATATACTGTGCCCCCACATAACCTCCTGTGGGACACGTTCTGGGTTGTACTGAGTCTGTGTTGTTAGAATTAAGTCCTTAAACTTGACTCTAAATAAATTTAACTGTGATTTCTCTAAGTTTTAGTGTCTACTGTTTCACTAGACACCTAGAATCTATAGTGTCCTAGAACTACAGTGTCCAGGGCTTGAGCAAGATACTTTAGTGAATATAAACATTAATGGAACATTGCCTTTTCCCAAGGCTACAGGATATCAGCCTATTCAAAGAGTGACACTGGCTTTACATCAAGAAGTCCACCAAATAGAATGAAGTAACTGAATTTTTGGTAGCTCTCTGGGTAATTTATGTGGTGTTAGACTCAAGGGTTTGAAAGAAAGAGACTTGTGGTCCCACTCTGGCTAGCCACAAACTTCATTTGAAGACGAGGATCTGTTTCTCAGGGAAAATATAAACAATAAGTGTGAGAGTTTTAGCAGTGAATGTATTAACATTATGTTGGAAATTGTATTGTTAAAAAGTGAAAGAGAAAATAGTGTAACTAATTTAAAGAAACCATCAAGAATCTGAGAGTGCTTTTATAAATGCAAGTTCCTGAATATGGCCAAAACCAACACTTCAGTGAATTTAAAAGAGTAGATGTTTTAAAAGACCTGATTTTCAAAGAATGACCAAAAACAGCTAAGTAAATATTCAAGGAATTATATAAAAGAACATCCAAGTAAATTAGAAAATAACAAACAGAAGAATTTATAAAAATGAAAGCTATAAATAATGAAATGGAGAACAAGACATAGTGCAAAGGATATATATGTCAAAAGCTCATTTTTAAATGGCAAAAAGAAAGAAGAAAGAGAGAGAGAAACTTCTGGTAAGGCATTTATTAAAAGAAATACAAGAGAAATAGAAAAAAGAAAAAAATAGACTATAAGCTATGAGAATAGAAACAGAAGAAACAGAGAAAAGAACAAAAGACTTCTAATAGAAGATTACATACTACCCCAGGGCAACATATTTACTGATAAAAGAAATGGATGTTATCCTTCAAGAATAAGCTATCAAAATTGACTTTCAAAAAAATAGAAATCCTCAACAAACTAATAGAAAATATCAAAAATTAAATTAAACATCTACCTTTTAAAAAGTAGACAAGAGTTACAGCCTCCAGTGCCATCCATGTTGCTACAAAGGACATGAATTTATTCTTTTCTATTGCTGTATAGTATTCCATAAAAATATATGTACCAAGTTTTTTTTTATACAATCTACCTTTGATGAGCACCTGGGTTGATTCCATGTCTTTGCTATTGTGAACAGCGTAGCAATGAACATACAAGTGCATGTGTCATGTTGGTAGGATGATTCATTTTCTTTTGGGTATTTACCCAGTAAAGGTGTTGCTGGGTCGAATGGCAACTCTGTTTCAAGTTCTCTAAGAAATTTCCAGACTGCTTTCCACAGTGCAATAATTCTAAGCATATTATTGCTGTAACAGAAAATCAAATATCACATGCTCTCATTCATAACTGGGAGCTAAGCATTGATTATACAGGGACATAAATGTAGGAACAATAGCACTGTAGACTACTAGAGGGTGGAGGAAAAGGGGCTGAGTTAGAAAACTGCCTATTGGGTACTATGCTCAATACCAGGGTGATGGGATCTGTCAGTATTCCAAGACTCAGCATCATGCATTATTCCCATGTAACAAATCTGCACATGTATCCCCTGTATCTAAAAAGAATGTTGAAATTAAAAAATAAAATGTAGCCAAAATCAGATTATTTTACATTTAAGTTCTACATAAGTCAAAAACAAACACATGATTTTAATAGTAGACTTTGGTAACAGATGAAAAGATCCTAATGCCAAATCTGGCAAGGAAATAACAAAAAGAGAGTTATGACCATAGTCTCTAAAAAATTAGGAATAAAATATTCAATAGCATATACAAAAGAATGTGAACATGAGCAGTTGGTTTTAGAAAGGCCAGAATGGCTTTAATTGGAAGATCTTTTAGTGTAATAAATTAAAGGAGAAAAAATTACATGAGTGCATATATTGCCAAATAGAAAAGACAAAAATTAAATAACATAAAATTTACCCTCCACTCTAGATATAAGTTCTATGAAAGTAGGAACAACAGAAAAATGCTCTAAACCTGTAAATACAGAATCAAATATAATTCCAAATGTAAGCTTTTATAGCTATTTCATTAAAATCAGGAATGAGACAAGTATAGAAATACTATTATTGTTAGTTGGAATTGTTTTCTTAGGTTGTATATTATGCAATAAGGCAAGAAACTAAAAACCCATACAAATATTGGCAAAGAAGCAGCAAATTACTTTGTTTGTAGATCAGAGTATTACACATTTAGAAAATCCAAGAGACTTCGACAAAAAACAAAACAAATAATGCCCCACACAAACAGGGTTTTAAAGAATAGTGTGACATATTTGGAAATCAAGAATACAAAAACAAAGAAATAACAAAATAATAATGCTCAGAAATATAACAGGAAAAATAATTTAATAATCTTAACAAATAGTATAAAATACCTAAGGGTAAACTTAGTGGAAAAATCACTTAGTTTTCCACTGGAAAACACTAACATTTTACCAGATGGCATACAACACAAACTGAAAAAAGTGACAAAAGACCATATTTCCTGATGAAAAAATTTAGTATCACGAAATTATTAATCCTTCCAAAATTGTCGGAAAATGCTCCTCCAATACCAATCACAATTGCAATAGTTATTTGGGGTAGTTGGCGGGGAACTGGAAAAATTAGTTTATGTTCATATAGCTATTAAGTTTATAAGAAATAGGAAAGCAAAAAAAGACTGGTGAAGGGTGATTTGCTTTATTAGGTATTAAAATTTATCCAAAAAACAATGAAATAGCATGAGAAAAGACTAGAAAAAATGCAGAAACAGATACAAAAATATATAACATGTTATACAACAAAACAGACATTCATGTTTCAGGAGGGAATGACTTATTTAATAAATAGTACTAACATAATCAGCTAGCCAGAAGGAAGATTAATATAAAAGAATGTTAATTCATGCTATTCAAAAATATATTCCAAATAGAATGAAGTTTGCAATGTCAAAAGTAAAAATTAACTCACTGCAAGACAAAATAAGAGAGTATTTGCATGATCTTGGAGTAGGAAAAATCTTCCTAATTATTAACTTAAAAAACCCAAAACCTCAGAAGTCATGCTGAAAAAGATAATATATTTGATTACATGAAAATAAAAAATCTCTTTTTTTTTTTCTTTTTTTTTTCTTTGAGACGGAGTCTCGCTGTGTCTCCCAGACTGGAGTGCAGTGGCGCGATCTTGGCTCACTGCAAGCTCCACCTCCCGGGTTCACGCCATTCTCCTGCCTCAGCCTCCCGAGTAGCTGGGACTACAGGTGCCCGCCATCACGCCCAGCTAATTTTTTGTATTTTTAGTAGAGACGGGGTTTCACTGTGTTAGCCAGGATGGGCTTGATCTCCTGACCTCATGATCCACCTGCCTTGGCCTCCCAAAGTGCTGGGATTACAGGCATGAGCCACCATGCTCGGCCAAAAATAAAAAATTTCTTATAGTCAATTCTAAATTGGGCAACAAATTTGTAGCATACACCTTTTTTTAGTATCCCTAGTATCTAAAACACTTACAAAATTTTAAGAATGACACAAAACCCCCGTGTAAAAATGGTCAAAGAATATAAACAAGTAAAGAGCAAATACCAAATGACTGACAAACATGAAAATATAATTTGTTCAATATCACTAGTTAGGGAAATGCAAATTAAATCTACAATAAGATGCCATTTTTCACCCACTAGTTTGGGATACATAAAAAGAGGGATAACATTCAGTGCTGGTGAGAATGTGAGGAAACAATTCTTCCACACATTGCTAATAAAAATAAAATCCTGGAATCCTTTGGGAAGGTAATCTGGCATTGCCTGCTTAGAATAAGATAAACTCTAACTTGGAGATATCCCTTTTGGAAATCAATTGTATTGAGAAAAATTTCCAGGATGTAAAGATATGTGTATGAAGATGTTTATTGAAGCTTGTTTGTAGTGGCAAAGAAGTATGAACAATTTGAACCCAATAGCATGAGAATGATTGACTAAATACCATTGCATTGACTGTATGAAATGCCACAGTTGTTAAAATGAATACGTTAGTGCTGTATTAATTCACCCAAAGTGATGTCCATACGTTAAAGACAAATTAAAAAGTGATGACAAAAGAGATCATCAGTGAATAGCCCTCTGTGTATTAATATGGGCAAGGACACTGATTACACCAAGGGGTAGGAAAGGAGAAGAGGACAGAAGGGGAGGTGAGAGGTTATTAACTTTTTAAAATCATGTGGGATTTTTCTACTTGTATAATCAGCATAGATTTTCTTTGTGATTAAAAACCGGCAATGAAAAAATTAATTTTTTTCTAGATAAATTCTCCTGCATCCCACCCTGAAAAGCTATTATTCAAAATCAGATTGACTTTCAATACTGAAAGAAACGTGGCATGCTATGGAATCAGACTAGGTGAATGTATTTCCAAGTAAATTGCAGCATATTTCATTCTTTCCTTTTTTTTTTTTTTTGGTCATATATGTGTGATGTGGATCTTTTATATTTTCATATTTTTGTTCATTGACTCATTTTATAAATCTATCTTTATACAAAGCAACGCATATGTGAAGTTATGACTTGATGCTATTGTTGCATTGCTAAAATACATATAATAACTACAAAGTTACTGAAGTAAAAAGAACTATTTGACTTCCTACAGTTATTTAGGTTATTTAGCATATCACACTTTGAAGAAACTGGACCATGGATTAAATAAACTAAACATTAATCTTTGATCCCAAATTGTCAGGAAGCCAGGAGATCAAAAGAACATCCCTAAGGAAGGTGTTAGGCTCAGCCTCCCATCCCCTTTACCCCTTTGTTCCTCAAGCTAGGGTCACTTTGTCACTTTCTGCATCCCAATCCTGACCCAGTTTGCAAACTAGTCTTGCCCTGGTGTGGCTTATTATTATTTGGGGCCCCAGGGTTTATGCCCACATGAAGCTGGGCTGGCAATAAGGCTTCAGTTCACTAACCAGATGTGTATGAAACACACATACACAAAGGGGAAGTATTTAGGAAAAAAATACACCTAGGTTTGTATTATTATTTCAGCTCAATCATTTATTCCTTGCGTGTCCTCACTAAACCTAGGTGTATTTTTACCAATAACAGCTAATTATGGTAAACACTATTTACATTTATGTGCCATGTACTAAGTGTCTGACATACAGTATCTCATTTAAACCTTGTGTAATCCTCTGAAGAAGGTCCTCTTATTTTCCCCATTTTAACAGATAATGAAACTCAGAGAAGGGCCTATGGTTATATAGCGAGTAAAAGTGGCAGAGTCCGCTGAACTTGAATTCAGATCGGGCAATGCCTTAACATCAGGAATCCAGCAGTTGCATGACTTAATATTTCTCAGTATCGTTTCCTTATCTCTAAATTGGAGATATTAATGCTCACTTCATAAGATTGTTCTGATGATAACATTCACTAACAAAAGATGTGCATTCACATAGTTGACACACAGTAATTATGAGCCCCTTCCCTGGCTCCTAAGAAGTAACTTTTTAAAAACCAAACAAAACCAAACAAAAACAACGGGGTCTCACTCTATTGCCCAGGCTTCAGTACAGTAGTGTGATCTTGGCTTACTGCAGCCTCCACCTCCTGGGGCTCAAGCCATCCTCCCACCTCAGCCTCCTGAGTAGCTAGAAGTATAAACATGCACCACATGCCCTGCTAATTTTGTTTATTTTCTGTAGAGATGAGGTCTCACTATGCTGCACAGGCTGGTCTCAAACTCCTGGGCTTAAGTGATACTCTTGCCTTGGACTCCCAAAGTGCTGGGATTACAGGTAGAAGACACCATGCCTGGCCCTGAGAGGTAATTTTACTGGTAGACTTCTGCTCTGGTTTTTGTTTCTAAGTCACTGTTCTGATATCTCAGACACCCAACTTACCCTGTAAATTGGCCTCTTTTCAGCCCCTGCAGGTGACCCCTGCCACCTCAAAGGGCCCTTAATCTGTGAATGTCAGCCTTGTCCTTTTCCTCACCTCCACCGTCCACCCCCTTTCCCAGAAGAGTCCTAGGCTTTACAGAAAGGGAGGGAACACGTGGCACTCATGCAAGGTGCCAAGTACTGAAGGAGTGTTTTAAAATACTCACTTTTCCTTTCACCCTATAAAAGCAGCCCTGGTGTCTGAACTGGTCAGTTCCTCAGGCCCTCTGGACCTGCCTGGATCCACCAGTCCCTGTCTGTGTGCCTACCTGTTTTTGAGGCCGGATAATAACCATCTGATATTCGGGCCAGGAGTCCACCAACACCTCCATGTTGAAGGGGTTCCCGTGATTGATGTGATACACAGAGCCGTACACCTGACAGAGGGATGAAAGGGACTAGGAGAGGTGGAGATCCCCAGAGATGGGGATCTGGATGTGAAGAGGAAGAGAAAAATGGAGGTTAAGAGAAGGTACTGGGACCACATCAGTGATGGTGAGATAAGCAGCATCTCCAGGACCATATTGATGGATGTGAAGATACCAGCAAGCAGGCAGAACTCACAGGCAGGTGTCCTTGTGATACCAAAGAGCTACTGTGCACTAGCTGGGCACTTGGCAATGCTCTTAGCACTTATATTGTATAGATTTATTCAGTGCCCACAGCAACTTTAAGAGGTAGGTGCTAATCGTATTCCTATTTCATTGAAGAAAAGACCAAACATAAAGTCAGAGAAAGGGAAAGAAACATCCACAAAGCCATACGACTAGAAAATGGCAGCCTTGGAATGCATATCCATTCGGACTGGCTCCAAACCATGTTTGTAGCAACCATTCTCCACGGCCTCTCCAATGGGCGACAAAACCTGCTGAGTGGGCCTAGCTGCCTCTTCCCGAAGAGAAGCAGCAGCTCGTGATATGCCTCTTGTGCCCCCAACCCCATCCTGTTTCCCAGCTCAAACCCTTTGCAAAAAGTCAGGAAGGACCAGAATCACAAGCTTGCTATTTTCTCATCCTCAACACCCCTACTCCCATACCCTGATCTCCCACGGTTCCCTCACCTTCAGGGACTCAGGGATGCTCCTGGCCAAGGATTTGTATAGGGCCAGCAGCTTATGGGAGTTATTCAGTAGGATCATTCTGTGGGATGCTTCAGACCTCGAGACCTTCAAGAAGAAACTCTGAAAAGATAAGAAGTGACCGGAACATGTTAAGAAACCAAATGAATTTAAAATGCACTTTATACATCTCCATTCAAGTAACACTCATGATGTACGTACTGTTAGTATCATCTTCATTCTGAATACACCAAAGCTCAGAGAGACTAAGTAAATTTCTCAAGTTCTTACAGAGATAAATGCCAAAGTCGGATTTTGAAACCATATATGAATGGCTCTGAAACCCATGCCCTTCCTCCCTGGTGGAATGAATTAAAAGTGAATATTTACAGTTCTGTGAGCTTCCCAAATGCCTGTAGCAGACACTCCACCACCACCGTCACAACTTTTTTCCCATATTTTGGTCATCAGATGCCTGAGAATTCTTCTTTCATCCGGAATAGAAAATATCAGCCCTCTAAGAACAAGTATGACTAAAAAACTTCGAGCAGGAGTTGGCACAGATTTTCTTTAGTTTCTCAGGGCCAAATATTTCAGACCTATGGCCATTTTGGAACTTGTCCCAGTTTCATTACAAAAATTTTAAAAAGATAGAAAAATTTTGACACATATCTGTAAACTTCTGTTGAAAGGTCATTCAGAATTCTCAGAAATGTGCCAGTAATTTAACAATAACTTGGAGAAGGTTCTCATCACAACTGATACGTTCAAAGCTTAGGCTGCTTTCAAATTTTAGTTCTGTCTCCTACTTCTTTGTTAAGTTGCTTAACCAATCAGAATCTCAATGTGTTTTCTCAACACTTTGGAACTGGAAGTTAGAACGCATGTTTTCCAGAGGAACTAGATTACACAATGCAATACATATAAAATGCATAGCATTATACCTGGAATAAAGTAAGAACAATATTTAACATGTTGGTTTTTTTAATTGACTTTATATTAATCAACATGTCACATAGAGATTCAGCAATTATATCAAATAATATAACAATAATTAAAAATGTAAAGAACTTATGACAAGCTTAATGAATGTAAGAGAAGAAACCCATGGATCAGATATTTGAAACAATCATTTGCAAATTAGTTAATACACGTGTTTGAAATTTTTTATCCATGAAGGTTAAATAGTTAACAAATATGTGTTAAGTAATAGGCAAGGTGGAACATATTTTGTCTTGTCTGGGGTCAAAGTCCTCAAAGTTAAACTATGTTCTGTAGCTAGATGAAGCAATGTTTAAACAAAGGCATCCTTGTGCAAGATCTCAGAATTTCGGAATGTTTGAATACTCAAGGAACTTTTAGTAAATAAAACTGGATCTCTGGCATAAGCCTATCCCCTGTCTGACTCTGCTATTCTTGTAGCTGTCAAAAAACACTGTTTTTTTTTCCATCTCCAAGTGATTTCTTTGCTCCGTTTCTCACCTGATTTAACTAAAATTGCCCATACCTATGTGTTTCACTATTGTGTTCTCCTTTGAGCTTTTGGTCAAGATTTTAAAGTTTTAACTCAAGATCTACCATGCTATATCACTCCCCGCAAAAAAAACTTGTGTTCCGTTTGCCCCGGGAACACTATAGCCTGGGCTGATACATGAGAACAATCCCCACACCTATCAGCTGCCACATCTTTGTCCAAAATACCTCTCCTATCCATTCCCTGCTCCATCCCCTTGCAATGACCTTAGTTGAGGGCCTCGTCCACCTCATACTTAATATTGCTCTTATGACCCCAACCTGGCCTCAGCTTCTAACATCTACCCAAATAAAAATGTTCTCTACCTGTATTCCTACCATTAACATTTCTTTTCTAAATCAGGAAGCTGCTAAAAACCTGGAGAGACCCCTCCCCACCTTCTTTAAAAAATTGTTGTAAAGTATACATAACACAGAACTTAACCATTTAACCATTTTTAAGCATAGAATGCAGCAGCATTATGTACATTCATAATGCTTATCCATTTCCAGAACGTTTTTGTCATCCTAAATGGCAACTATACCCATTAAACCACAATTACTCATTCCCTGTCTCCCTAGTCCCTGGCTCCTATATATCCTATGATAATGGTCCATCTGGGTCTGGCTTATTTCACTTAGCATAATGTTTTCAAGGTTCACCTATGTTGTATTATGTATCAGAATTTCATTCTTTAACTAAAATAATTTTTCATAATATATGGAAAATAAGTTTAATGTCCACTAAAGAGAAATTATAAATTTGTGAATGGAAGTTAGTAAATATGAGTAGCACACAGTCAGTGGTCACTGTGAAGACTATAAAAAAGCAATTATAATGAATAATGAGTAAAAAAATCAAAATATATAACTTTTACACATGTACCCATATTATGTTTGCATGTGGACAAGGACTTGAAGGGAATAAATAAACATGAAAATTGTTTTTGGGTGGTAAAAGTATGTGATTTATTTCTTATTTAAGAATTTTATTTTGTACCATTGACATGTTTTTATTTTTAGGCTAAATTGAAAAAAACATGGAAGGCACTTGAACCAATAGTTAAAGATGAGAATTATGGAAACAGAATAAACGCTATATATTTTTGTCTTTTTTGCCCACAGTCCCATCAGCTATCAAGTGTCTTTTTTTGTAGGGAGAAGGAAAAAGCTCCCCAGGTCCCACGATTCTGTACGTGCCTCATCCTGTCACCCACAGCGGTCAACAAAGAGTGCAAGGCAGATTATTCCAAAGAGAATAGCAGTTGACATCCCATAGTGCCAAAACTGTTTTTAGTCAAAAGGGACTTTCCTGAGAGCTCTCATTTTTAAATGTACTTGGCATTGTTTAAATGCATTGGCATTGCCGTTCATTTGGAATGTTCCACTCTAAGTTATCTTTAGTAACATTTTGCCTTTTCTGTAAGACTTAGCTGCCTCCCAGTCCTAATGTATAAGCCAGAAGGAACTCAGTTTTCCAGAAATTAAGGATCCAAGTTTTACCTAAAATATTGGCTTTACTCTTTGGTTCTCTTGATAAGCCAATGAATTTTTTCCTACCTAGGCGCACAACAAACAAACAAACAAACAAACAAACAAACAAACAAAGGGGTAGAACACAAATATCCCTGTGAATTTTCAAAAGCCAAATTTTATAACTCCTGCAACGTTACTGCTTAATATCAGTTCCTTTCTGACGCAGTGAGATGTAAGAGGCCTCTAACTGGATCCAAGTCCATCAATTCCAAGATCAAATCTGTTCCCAGACCCAGTCTATTTCCTGTTATGACTCCAAACCCAGTTTGGATCAGAAATTTGCTCCAAGCAACTCAAAGAGCTCAAAACACAAATGCGTGAACCTCCAAAATGCGAGAGGGAGCTTACGTATTATCCTCAGTCTCTCTGAGAGATCAGTGGACGCAATTGGATCCTGCAGGTACTTTCTGTGTTCACTTAGTGCTCCTGGGGATACTAGAGGCTCCACTTCAGATCCTGCTTCTGACACCATCTGATAAAATAAAAACTTCAGCTGAATTAAATTTAAAGGAGTTTAATTAAGCAATAAACAATCTGTGAATCCGGTAGCCTTCAGAATCACAACAGATTCACAGAGGCTCTGGGGGTGCCTCGTGGTCAAAACGAATTTATAGACAAAAAAAGGTAAAGTGAAGTACAAGAACCGGAAATGAGGTACAGAAACAGTGAGATTGGTTACAACTGGGGGTTTGCCTTATTTGAACACAGTTTGAACATTCAGCAGTCTATGAGTGATTGAAGTATGGCTGCTGGGATTGGCCAACACTCAAGTATTGTTACAGGCGTACACTACTAAATAAGGTTTTCAATTTTGTCTGACTATTAAAGCAAGTAACAGTTCACCCACAGGACTCAAATGTAGAAGTACAGAGTCCTTCTCAGGCCATAATTAGTTTAACACTTTGTGGCAAAATTTATTGAAAGGATTATCTACACATGCTATCTCTAATCCCCCTCCTAATCTTATGTAATTGGGTTTTTGCTGCTACCATTCTACTGAAACACTTTTTAATGCCGTCAGTGATCTCTATGTTATTAAATCCAATGGTCAATTATTGCTTTTCATCTTAATAGATCATCCTTTAATGAACTTCTGTCACTTGGTTTCCAAGACAACACACTCTCGGTTTTCCTTTAACTTTACTAAAGGTTACTTCTTCTCAGTCTCCTCGGTGGACCCTTATATTCTCCCCAATTTCTTAATTTTGGATCACTTCAAAGTTCCTGGTGATCCCATCTGGTCTCATGGCTTTAAAATAAATGTACCTGCCAATGACTAACACATTTAAATTATTACTCAAACTTTTTTCCAAACTCAAGACATATGTATCTAATGGCCTGTTTGACATTTCTTGGATTCCATCCAATAGCCATCTCAGACTCATTATGTCTCAGATCGAACTCCTTATCCACCCTCTCCACCCAGCCTACTTCACCTGTAGTCTTTCTCAACTTAGTTGATGGCAACTCCATTTTTTCCCCTGTTCAAATAAAAATTTTTGGAGTTATTCTTAAGTATCTTTTCCGCTCCCACTGTACATCCAATTCATTATGACATCCTGCTAATTCTGGTTGGGAGAAAATTCTTCATAACCTCTCACATTTCTGTATGTCTTATGAGCAGAGACATCGATAGCCTTCACTCCTATCTTTTCAAGGATGTTTGTAAAGATGACATCTTGGAAGCTAGATATATTGCTTTCTTCTGAAGCAGAGGGCAGGTCTGCTTACTGATGAGGATAAGAAAGATAATGTCTCCCTCTGGAGCAAAGTTCAGACAGGTTTGCTTGCAGTTCATTATAAAACATCCAGGTTCCCTAAATTCAGGGTTGCTTGGCCGCAACACACATCTGTTGCATTTGCAACATTAAACTGCCTTTCTGTATTTCCTCTGCAGGACTTGTGGAGCAAGGATGACTGACACAAACACAAAAATCATTCTCCCTGTTGAGTGAGTCATAAAACCCTGTCTTTGACCTAAGAAGCTTGTGTCATCTGCCAGCATTCATGAAACTTTGCCCCAAGTAGGGTTAACTTTTATATGCTTCACAGTTCTTAGCAGTCTTTTCTGGATGGAGAATGTCTTTAGTCTTCCATCAATAACAAACCTGGATGCCCCTTTTAAAACAAAAGCTAGATTTTGTCATTCCTTTGTGCAACTCCTGCAGTAACTCTCAATCTCATTTAGAGAAAGAGATACAAATTGCTTATAACAGTTCTCTAAGTTAGAGTCCAGTTACCTCCCGGATATCTGTCCAGTCAGGTCCTAGACCTCGCTCTTTTGGCCTCTCTGCTTCAGGCACTTGGCTGTCCTTTTTCTTCTGCCTGTATTCTGTTTTCTCACTAGACGTATAGAAGACTCTAATACCTTTTCTAAGTCTTCACCTAAAAGCCACCTGCTCAATAAGGCCTCCTTTGGCCATCCTATTAAAAATTACAACTCCTCCCCTAGTCACTCTGCAATGTTTATGTGCCCCATTGTTATTCTCTGTCTCTATTTGTTTTTTTGAAGGGTCTCGCTCTTTCACCTAGGTTGGAGTGCAGTGGCAGGATCAAGACGCACTGCAGCCTTGATCTTTCAGGCTCAAGCAATCCTCCAACCTCAGTCTCTTGCATAGCTGGGACTACAAGTATGAATCACTGTGCTTGGTTAATTTTTTATTTTTATTTTATAGAGATGGGGGGAGCGGGTCTTTGTTTCCCAGGTTCATCTCAAACTCCGGTTACAAGTTTATAAACTTCCGTGTCAAACTCTGATACCTCAAAATACCTAGCAGAGACAAATGTAAAACCCAGACAAAAATGTACGCTGACAATTATGATGACATTTCTATTTTTATTTTACAAGACTTTTAATACTAGCTTGCTAAAGATTTACTTAACATGAACATGAAAAATACTTTGGACTTATTTACTTTATCTATGAGCATTCTTTTATTTATAAGCCAATTGGATAGTCACAACATTTAAAGTAATACAAATGCCTACACATAAACACATCTAGACATACATACACAAAAAGATCCAATAGCGTTTACCTTGGAAGTCTAGCTATTGAAATACAAACTCACCAGTCTGCAAACTTCACATGGCTGAACTTTGTTAGCCTTGATCAATAATCCAGTGAAGGCTTGAACCAAAATTTTCGGTAAAACAGTTTCCGTGACAGTTTAATTTTTAAAGTCCAAACCTCTCCAGACTCCAAAGAACACTGGGGTCAAACAGCACCACAGGAGAACATCACATATTAACTTGGCCCAACAGCAGCACAAAAGCCTGGATACATGGAAATCCAACCCACTTTCCCATTCAAGAGCAAATACCAGATTCCAAACTATACTGGGGTCAAACAGTGTTATAAAAGAGTGTCAGTTTATTAAATTCTAATTTCCCATGACTGCATCAGACACATGCAAACAGTCACTAAAACAATCCAACTGCTGCAGAATCAAACAAGCCCCAAAAGTCTACAAACTGAACGAGTTGGGGTGATTCCTCTCTCCATTGGTTGGGTTCAATCAATCTGCAAATGAAAATTCCTTCAGAATTTCTCCAAAGGAGAGGAGCTGATCCCACTCTCTGGTAACCACAAAAGATACTCAATTGCCTGGACACACACACAATGACAAACAAGCTCCCAGGAGTGTCCATACTGGAACAATCAGGGTACTTCCCTCTTTTCATCAGTTGGGCTTTTCAACCTGCAAATGGAAATTCCTTTAAAAATTTCCCAAATTGGGCCGGGCGCGGTGGCTCACGCCTGTAATCCCTGCACTTTGGGAGGCCGAGGCGGGCGGATCACGAGGTCAGGAGATCGAGACCATCCTGGCTAACACGGTGAAACCCCGTCTCTACTAAAATACAAAAAATTAGCCGGGCGCGGTGGCGGGCGCCTGTAGTCCCAGCTACTCAGGAGGCTGAGGCAGGAGAATGGCGCGAACCCGGGAGGCGGAGCTTGCAGTGAGCCGAGATGGTGCCACTGCACTCCAGCCTGGGCGATAGAGTGAAAAAAAAAAAAAAAAAAAAAAAAAAAATTTCCCAAATTGAGAGGAGCAGATCCTTCTTTCTGGGCCCACAAAAGACAGTCACCTATCTGGATGCAGATGTCAAATTTCAAAAGCAGTTCTTCCAAGGTAATCAAGAACATGGTTGAGGCCAGAGAGAACTCATCTCCAGTCAAAATGGGGTAAGCAGCTGCTTAGGAGGGCTTTGGGACTCCAGGCCCATGGCTGCCAATCCAAAGGGTTCCGGGTCGGGGAACAAAAATCCATTACTAAACACCAGGGGTGTGGTCTAGGTCCTGCTGTTCACTGCACAGAAAACCAATCAATATCACCAATTATTGCCAAGGAAGAAGGCCGAATTGGATGCTGTAGCATAGGAGATGCAAGCTCAGTCTCAAATCCATCTGCCTGACCAACTAAATTATGAGTTTACATAGCAGGGAAGAAATGTAACAATGTGTAGAAAAACAGGAACTCAGGAGACCTAAGGAAGCAATCACGATTTATAAGAAGCCTGGGGTCCATTGTGTGGATGGGCTCATCTGGTGAGTTTCAGTTCTTTGATACTTTTTGAGGTACCTAGGGGTCCTTTACTAAGAATGAAATTAATATAAAACAAATGAAAGTTTCAAGCTTTAAGACCAGTGGGCCAATTTCTATGTTTATACAAAAATCTATCTATGGGACTACAAGGGCGGTTTCAATTCCAGCGCCAGTGCTAGCTGCAATCTGCCTCCAGTCCGCCTATGTTTCTGACAAACTCTGTATCAGGACTTTGGCCAGGAGAATAGCTTCCTCTACCATCTGTGGGCTCCTCTCCCATCTGTAGGGTTTGCTGAGGTTGTTGAGCTTCTTTGACCACTTCAGTTCCCAAGGCGATTCTTTGCATCAGCCTTTCAGACCAGCTCTGGAGTGTCTCTAAAAGTCAGCCTGTGCCTATGGGATGCAATGGGGTAAGGCTGGAACTAGACCCCTATGCTTTCCTCCCAGAAACACATGCTATCTGACAGAGTGGTTACTCTGCAGGACTCCAGCAGGGGATTCGCCAAGTCCACTTCTCTGAAGTATCTAGTCTGTGGTTCAAAATCGTGGTCTCAGGCTCTACACTGGCCCCACCCAACCCCAGTCCTAGGCCAGCTTCAGGCTTCAAGCTGGTTTTTGTGTCCCAGGATCTAATAAGCTCAGGGCCCACCTGTGCTCTAGCAAACCCAGTGTACAGGCTGAGTTCAGTAGTTCCTGATGTGTCCAGAATTGATGGGCTCTTGGTCTCACCGACTTCAAGAATGAAGCCACGGACTCTCACAGTGAGCGTTACAGTTCTTAAAGATGGTGTGTCTGGAGTTTGTTCCTTCAGACGTTCAGATGTGTCTGGAGTTTCTTCCTTCTCGTGGGTTCGTGGTCTTGCTGTCAGGAGTGAAGCTGCAGACCTTCATGGTGAGTGTTACACCCCTTAAAGGCAGCGCATCTGGAGTTGTTTGTTCTTCCCAGTGGGTTAGTGGTCTTGCTGCCTTCAGGAGTGAAGCTGCAGATCTTCCTGGTGAGTGTTACAGCTCATAAAGGCAGCGTGGACCCAAATAATAACCAGCAACAAGATTTACGGCAAAGAGCAAAAGAACAACGCTCCCACGGTGTGTAACGGGACCCTAGGGTTGCCGCTAGCTGGCTCAGGCAGTCTGCTTTTATTCCCTTATCTGGTCCCACCCACATCCTGCTGATTGGTCCATTTTACAGAGAGCTGATTGGTCTGTTTTGACAGAGTGCTGATTGGTGCATTTACAATCCTTGAGCTAGACATAAAAGTTTTCCAAGTACCCACTAGGTTAGCTGGATACAGAGTGCTGATTGGTGCACATACAATCCTCCAGCTAGACATAAAAGTTCTCCAAGTCCCCATCCAGTTCAGGAGCCCAGCTGCCTTCACCCAGTGGATCCTGCAGCGGGGCTGCAGGCAGAGTTGCCTGCTAGTCCCAAGCCGTGTCTGCACTCCTCAGCCCTTGGGCTGTCCATGGGACCAGGTGCCATGGAGCAGGGGGTGGCGCCCTGTCCGGGAGGCTGAGGCTGCTCAGGAGCCCACCACAGGGCGGGGAGCTCGGACATGGCGGGCTGCAGGTCCCAAGCCGTGCCCCGCGGGGAGGCAGCTAAGGCCCCGTGAGAATTTGAGTGCAGCCCCGGCTGGTGGGCACTGCCGGGGCCGGGGCAACCTCCGCAGCTGCTGGCCTGGGTGCTAAGCCCCTCACTGCCCTGGGCCGGCAGCGCTGGCTGGCCACTCCGTGTGCGGGGCCCACCGAGCCCCAGCTCGCCCCCCATTGGAACTCACGCTGGCCCCCAGAGTGCAGCCCCGGTTCCCATCCGCCCCTCTCCTTCCACACTTCCCCGCAAGCAGAGGGAGGAGGCTCTGGCCTCAGCCAGTCCAGAGAGGGGCTCTGGCGGGCTGAAGGGCTCCTCAAGCGCTGCCAGAGTAGACGCCGAGGCTGGAGGCTGAGGAGGCGCTGTGAGTGAGGGCTGCTAGCACATTGTCACCTCTCACTGATGCTAGGCTGGACATCATGGACCAAGGCTCTAGGACCATCTTTGAAGACTCAGGCTTTAGGTAAGCCTCCGTCTACCAAGATCCTAGGTCCATTTCTCCATATTCAGGCTCTAATCCTGCACCAGTACCAGGCCAGTCCCCATGGACTCAGATTCCATGTTTATCCCAGTAGACCCAGACACTAGGCCCGTTCCAGAACCTAGTCAGTGCCTGCAGACAGAGGCTCAATGCCCACATCAGAGCCATGTCAGCCCCTGTGGACCCACACTTCAGTCTAGCCCCTATTGGTACAGGCTCTATGCCTGCCTTGTAGACATGGGCTTTATGTTCATGCCTGCATACCCGGTGAAAACATCCACCCCAGTGGATCCAGGATTTAGGCCCAACTCTACAGACCCAGGAACCAGGCCTACCACCTGCTGACACAAGCACCAGGCTAGGCTGACTGAAGACTTCAGCAATAAGTTCACCTGCAGACCACAACAGAAACCCTGCCAAGAATTGCTGGATGACTGGGAAAGGGTTTTTCCAGACAAAGCCAGTATACAAAGACTAGAATAACTTTGCTGTTTATCAAATGTACAGATACCCTGAATAGATCTTTCTCTCTCTCTCTGTTTTTTTTTTTTTCTTTTTACTGGTTTATAATAATCTTAAAAACTCTATCACACCCATAAACCACCACAGGTAAGAGGATGAGAGAGATAGGGAATGAATGCTACAGTATGTGGACAGAGTGGGGAATCCCGGTATTCCCTAGGGTAGTGTGGAATGGAGGCAGGGAGTGTGAATAGGAGGCTGTGGCTTGGATCCTTATTGCTGGATGGGGGTTGGCTAGCAGAGGAGAGATGGACTCAAGTTCAGCTAGGAAATAGGGAACATCTCACACCAAAGGCAATGGCAGTTGGGGGCCAGGGGGATGACAGTACATTTTCTACACAGACTACAGAGGTGAGTGAGAGCTTCAGAGACTTGCACCCCTTCACAGGAAGAAATGGGTTAGAGGTTTTTGACTTAAAAGCTCCCAAATTGGTATCTGACCCAATTTCCTAAAATGGCAGCTCACCATTCAGGCAGAGGTACTGAAAAGAAAAGTATAGCAAGAATATCTGGTTTGGAGATCAAGTAAGGGATAAGGGGAGACAGTGGTGCTCTCTAAATCTGATTCAGAAAAGCAAGGATTGAAAGAGGGCCTTGGGTGAAATGGTGGCCAACACTTTGGGAGAAGACATTGCACCAGAAGCTGTAGGCATTCCTGAGGGCTCACGTACACGGAAGTTCACATTAGGTGGGAAAAGAACCAAAAACAATAAATTAGGACTTCATGTTGCTGTCACCTGGCATAATATAAATCAAGTAATTTTTCTCCTTTTAAAATATAAGGCAACTTGTCAACACATAATTTAAAAATTGGTCTTCAGCCACATTGCTTCAGATTACCAGAGAATTCCTGGCTAAAGAGCAGTGGATACTAAACAAAACTCAACATCTTAAGAACCATCAGCTCACATTGCCTAGAGACAAGTGGAAAGGGAAGGGCTTATCTGATCCAATAATTTTTTTATAAAAAGCCCAATTCTGCATTTTTAACAGAAGAACGGTGTAAAAATTTATAACAAAGCCTAATCTAAGTTTAAAGTTACAGAAAAGTGTTAAATTCTAGCTAACTTATCATTACTTGGGAATGAGACCATTGGGTATGGAGTGGATGAA